TCAAGGGTACTCGTGGCAGTGTAGTCGAGTGGTTAGCGTGTCAAGCTACCGTCCTGCACTGTCGCGGTTCTAATCCCACTGAGGGTGTTGATAAGACCAATGCGAGGTCGAAACTGCAGTCCACTTCAGACTGGATGAGAACAACTTTTGGGAAAGCAAGGCTATGTGCAATTCAATGGAAAACGTCAGCTAAACTCATATCATTGTGGGAAAATTCTACAACCAGTCCTTCATCACCTTACACGAAATAGGGTGAATACATCTCATTAAATATTTATTGCCTTTGGATATGGCATAAATTGAGTCAGGCTAGATGCTGATAATGATGATAATACCCAGTTGTCACTGACTTACAAGTATGTGCGACATCATTAGCACAGATTTACAACTGATCAAATTGAAAATATAATGCAATCTCCTTTACCCATTTTCTGTATAACAGTTCTGGCATCACTTCCTGTCTCTATTTTTGTCCTACCTACTGGTCCTGCATATATTTCTTATAACTCCATTCATATGGCGCATTTATCTATTTACACAATTCTGTGCTCTCGTTTCCTCTAATGTCGTCTAAGAGTATTTCGCTACAAGTGGATTTAGTGAGATATAAACACTTGATAATCGGTCATTTCTACACAGTAATATCATTATCTTGCTGCCTATTACCATTCAATCCCCGTCTCATTTTATGTCATATTCGAGGAATTTGTGTCAGTGATTCCCATAAATAGACGTTTTTCTTTAACTTAGCTTCATACACATCACCTAGTTATCCTTTTTCTCATGCTCGCCCACCTTGCAGCTTACTCTTTGGGCCTCTGGAGAATGAGTTGCAAAGTGGGTGAAAATGGAAGAAAGGCTAAATGGATTATGGGTCTAAAGCCTAACGAGAGAGAGATGCCTAGCTATGGGCATCACTGACACAAAATCCTCGAATAAAAAATGAACAGAGGCGGGAATTGAAGGGTCATAGGTAGCTAAATACTGATATTAATGCGTAGCAATGACCAAGTATCAAACGTGGTGGAAAAAATTTGAAGTAAATGAAAGTCAGAAGCCCTAAAAATGGCACATAAATCCTGTAGAGAGGATGACTATGCCTCACTAAATCCATTTGTAGTGAAATACTGTTAAGCGACATTAGAGGTAACGAGAGCACAGAATTTTGTGAATAGATAAATGTGCTATATGAAGTGGGATTGTTATAAAGAGATGCAGAAAAAGCGGTTAGGATAAAAATAAAGATGAGAAGTGATGCAAAAACTGTTATACAGAAAATTAGTGAAGGAGATTGCATTCTATCTTAACTTTGCTCTGTTGTATCTCTGCGCATGTCCCACTGACAATGTCAAGTACAATGCCGGCTAAACGTTTGAGAATGTATCAGATCAATGGTCTGATGTGGAATTCACGAATACTATGACAGAGGATGCATGAATAGGTACATTCAACATTGTCTCTCTGATGCTCCGACCAAATTGAAAAATCTAGGTCAAACATATACTAAATAATATTTTCACAATGAGTAGTAATGCCTTAAAAATTATCATCAGCCCGTTTCATCTCATTACCAAGAAGTACGTGGATAATGAACTGTAGTTCACCTCATATTAAACAAAGTAAGCGTCATCTCAAACATTATGATTCCCATATAAACTATACGGTTTTTTATATATAATAATATAACTTAAATATATTTTATTATTAAACTATACTATTTTTAGTAAGTGTACTTCCATTCGGTATGCAACCTCTATTTTTCAGTCACCGAGTATAGCGGGAGAACAACTTTAGCGCGTTCTCCTAATTGAACGCGTCTCAACATGATTGCTTCCAAATTTAAGGTCTTTGTCATAGGCAATGTTGCCTTTCTGCGGGACGACTTTGTGAAGGTGGTTAATGTAAGTGGATTATTTTCTAATTTTTTCTTCTAAAGTCTTTTGCTCAAGAGCATGATGTTTCTTATTTACCCGATGTTAGCACGTGCCTCGCACACGCCAAAAACAGGCATTCAAACTCTAACAGTGCCCAGGATATTTACATTTTTTCTGATTTTGGTGATCCCTTATGCATTTCCGAGCTTGTTTCTTTGCGCCCTAAAGCTCGCATAATGGGTGTTCCTGCATTTCTCCAGTGGAATATAGAAAATAAAAAGTGGTCAAAATCTAGACCAATTTTTACCTTTTCTATGCACGGGGCTGTTGTTTGCATCACGGGTTTTCGTGATAAAATAACTGTAGTACGTATCTGGATTTTTATATTTATTCAAGAATCGTTTGGCAACTCTTATCAACTGGATGGGGGGCAGTGTGCGGCGCTGCATGCATGCATCAGTTACACATCTTGTTGCTTACAGGTGCAGTGGACAAAAGGCTAGTGATG